CCCACAACCCTAACCCATAGCAACCGTAGGCTTCTCCCCCCTTTGCAAACCCATCCTTGCCTGTCCCTAGCAACCACTGGCCAAGCCTCTCCCTAGCAACCAGCTCTCCTGTCTCTCCCTAGCAACCACTGGCCTCTCCATAGCAACCCCATCCCCTCCCTCTCCCTAGCAACCACTGGCCACTGCCTCCCCAGCACATCAGCCTCTCCGCAACCATTGCTTCGGGCTCTCTCTAGCAACAACGGCCCTTAGCAACTACGGCCCTTAGCAACCAGCTCCCCTGGCCCGGCAGCCCCACCCCCACTAGCAGGCACCGGAAGCGGATGTCGCTGGGCTCTGTGTGAGCTGATTGGTGGAGCGGTCCCGCCGCAGTATATAAGGACGTCACTTCCTGCGCGCGGCCTCTTTTGCTCGAAGGCCTCCATACGGCGCTGTTCTCTGGTCAGTGGCCGCGCGAGGCCTGGGGCGGGGGGGAGAGAGGAGGAGCCGCCGCCGTCCCGGTCCGGCCGCCCGGGGTGGGGGGAGGGAGGAAAGCCCCGGCGTCACCGATTGATAAAAAGCCGCGCGTCTTTTTCTGCTCCGCGCGGGAGGGGAGGATAGGCCTCAGGCCTCAGCGCGGTCGGGTCCACGTGGACTCCGCCTCCTGACTGCTCGGAACCGTCTATTTTTCAGTCGGGGCGCTCCGGGCGGGAGGTGCGGCGCGGCCTCCGACTGGGAGAGGAGGTGTCGGGGGTGAGGCCCGACCGCGTGTGGGCCCCGGGCGGGAGGCGCGGCGGGAGGCAGTTAAAGGGGAAGTCCTGTCGGCGTTTAGCCCTTAAAGGGAACGTCGGAGGTTTTTGTCCCCCCAGTTCCCCAGTGAGAAAACGCCTTGAAGGGAATATTTACAACAGCAGCAGCAACAACATAGCGTCCAGAGAGCTTTTGGGTGGGGGGAGATGTTGGCGTTTCTCCCGCTTCCGCCTGAGAAATCACCTTGAAGTTGCTGTCCAATTAGCTTGAGTTCCCCCCCACCCCCGGCTTGATGTCATCTCAACATGGCTTTTGCGCGCGCACATGTGTGTGGGGTGGGTTGGTGGTGGTGAGGGGATGAAGAGTTTTGTGAATATCATTTGTGCAGTGAGTGAGGGATGGAGAGTCGTTGGAATCTGGACCAGTTACTAATGGAGTTGACTCCATCCTTCAGATGAGAATTAATCCTCACTCCCTGTCTGTGCCCTGTTTAGGTAGATGTTAAAGGTCTCCCATGGTGCTGTTGGAAAAGAGAAAGGAGTTTCTCTCCCAGTGTCTTGGCCAACAATCTCCCAGATAAAATCACCTGTTCCCTTCAAGACAATTGGCTTCTGTGTTTACCCACATGTTAACTCACTGTACTTTACTGTAAAATTCTGTGACACTATTGGAAAAGAGGTTTCTCTTACCTGAGCCTCTCATGGCCTTCATTGCTGTGTGTAAATTGGCTGCTGTAGTTGTTTGCCATTCTTTGTTACAATTGACTAACAAATCCCAGTGAGGCGCTGTAACGTTCTAGCAGCTGTACCTTCAGCTGGGTTTATGTTGACCGCATGTTGTTTTCCCGCAGGTTACCCATCGTTACTTTAAAGGGAAACCTTCACAATGTCCGGAGGTCTGGATGTCCTCCAGATGAAGGAGGAAGATGTCCTCAAATTCCTCGCTGCTTCCACCCACCTGGGAAGCACAAACCTGGACTTCCAAATGGAGCAATACGTATACAAGAGGAAAAGTGATGGTAGGTGAGCTTCCAGCCTCCAGGCACATGTACAGTAAACCTCACATAAGATGTATCAGTTGGGGATGCCCCAGGACTCTGGACAGACCAGGGTTCGCCCCTGGGGTGGGGGGCTGGGAAGTTGGCCGAAGGCACGGTCAAAGAGCATGCAATTACAGAGACTGGGGCAGATCCTTGAAAGCCTGACCACAGATGTTGGGGCGGGGGTTGTGAAGCAGGACAGTGTCTGCTGAACAGAAGGAGGTGGGTTGGTAGGGTTTGAGGAGGTCCAAGAGGAAAGTTGGGGCAAGACCATGGAGAGATTTAAAGGATCCTGCTGGCAGTGGACAGATCTATATGGAGTTAGGTCACAGAGGTCGGGAGGAGCAAGGCTGGGTAATAAGTATAGCCACTGGGGAGGTCATTGCTGGACAAGCAGTCTGATTGAAACCTGTTAAGTTAGTAGGAGTTGCCCTCGTGGCTCAGCGCACACAGTTAAAGCCCGGTGCTGAGGCCAGTGTCTGGCCAATGAGCTCCGATGTCGGACGTGTGCTACAGTAAAGCAGGTTTTTCGCTAACACCACAAGAGGCCCTGGGCCCCGAGGAGTGGGGTTTGATAGTGAAACTTGCTACAATACAACCCTCACTGGTAGGAGAGCAGTCTGCCTGTCACAGGCACGGTCAGCATATGTCTGAGCGGAGGGAAAACTAGTGAGACTGAAGAGAATAGAGAGGATTGACAGGGTTTTAAGGAAAGTAGGATTTGCTTGTTATAATGCTTTATCGTGATAAGATCTTAGGACACTTTGGAGTACAGTGCAGCCCTACAGAGCTAAGTCACTTTAGTTGGGATAATGTTTGTCTAGACATAGACAGACTGGTAACATGGGCAGACACGGGGCAGATGAAGTTTAATGTTGAGAAATGTAAAGTGATGCATTTTGTGAGGAAGAATGAGGAGAGGCAATATACGCTGATGGTATAATCTTAAAGGGGGTGAAGGAACAGAGAGACCTGGGGGTCATATAAGGAAATCTTTGAAGGTGGCCGGACAGGAAGATAAAGCTGTTAAAAAAGCATCTGGGATACTAGGGGCATAGAATACACAAGTCAGGAAGTTATGATGAACCTTTATGTCATTGGTTAGACCTCAGCGAGAGACTATGTTCAGTTATGGGCCCCACACTTTATGAAGGATGTCAAGGCATTGGAGAGGGTGCAAAGGAGATTTACCAGGAATGAGGGACTTCAATTATCAGAAGAGGCCAGAGAAGCTGGGAGCAGAGAAGGTTAAGATAAGACTTAATAGAAGTTTTAAAAATTATCAGGGTTAATGTATGGCTGTGTTAAGGCTAACTATTTTAGTTGGGTTTATGTGTGGCCTGTTTTAAGGCTACGTTAGTTGAGTTAACGTGGGTCTATGTTAAGGCTAACTACTTAGTTGGGTTACCTGTGTTCCTTGTCCCAGGTATTTACATCATCAACATAAAGAAGACCTGGGAGAAGCTACTCCTGGCCGCTCGTGCCATTGTTGCCATCGAGAACCCGGCTGACGTCTGTGTCATCTCTTCCAGGCCTTTTGGGCAGGTAACGTGGGCAGCGCTGACTATAATATAATAATAATCCTTCCATTTGATACAACGCCTTATAACTTCTTCGAGGTGTCTCGAAGAGTTTCACAGAATATACTGTAAAGTGTAGTGACTGTATATTTGTGACTGGGAGACTGACTGAGGTTCTGGGGCTCCGCTAGGCACAACAACAACTGCTTACATTTATAAACCGCCCTTCACAGGGGCAGCGTCTCAGAGTGCTTTCACTTCTGAGTCAAATCACCTGGAGCACTGCATTGTCAGAGGCTCCGTTTACACGACGTGTTAAACCAAGTGCCTGGGCTTTCATGTGGACGTTTGAAGATCTCCCACGGGGCTATTCGGAAAAGGAAAGGGAGTTTCTCTCTCTCATTGGTGTCCTGGCCAACAGTCTCCCAGATAAAAATGGTCGCTCACTTCATTGCTCTTTATTTGTCCGTGGGGATTTTGCTCAGCCCAAACGGGCTGCCGCGAGTTGTCCACAAAGGACACAGTCACTCCACTTTACAGTACGTTTGCTGAGACATCATCTTGAGGTGAAAGTGTGATATCAAAGGGAAGGTGATTACATTACTCAGATCTCTGCACATTATTAAACCCCGTTGTTAAACCAGTCTCTGGCCCGTGAGCTTCGGGTGTCGGAAATGTGCGATAGTAAAGCTGGCAAGTTTTCGCTAACACCACAAGAGGCCCTGAGCCTCGAGGAGTGGGGTTTGATAGTATTCTATGCCACAGTGTTTCTACAGAATATAAACGGTTTGTATTTATGTCACACCCTTCACATGCAGTAATGTCTCAGAGCTTTGGGCACTGGAGAAGTGCGAGTTCTCTTTACACAGGTCTTGGTGTGAGTGGAGTTGAGTGTGGTGTGACCCTACACTGACTCTCTTCCCCACTCCTGTAAGCCTTTAGTCTCTACTGCTCAGAAAACATTTGCCTGCTTCACCTGCCCTGCCCAATCCTCCCCACCAACAGCGGGGAAGCTTTCAGCCATTCTGCCCCCGCTCTTAGGCACTCTCTCCACATGTTAAAAGCCTGCCTCAAGGCTTGCCTCTTCACTCTTGCTTTCAGTCATCTTTTCTCTCACCAACCTCTTCGGGGGAGGGTGGGGGTGAAGCCTCCAAGATGCTGTCCATTGGATGAGGTGTTAAAACTAAAGCCCCATCTACCTGTTCAGGTGGACACGGTTAATACCACTATTTAAAAAGACTTGAGTTTCTCTCGGTTGCCAGTTCAGTTGCTTCAGTTTTCAAGAAGCTCACAGTCTCTGTAAATCAAGTGTCTGCTGACATGTGGGAGTAGGCTAGGCTCGCTGTACTTTAGTGTCAGCTGTGTCACTTAGTGCAGGCCAAATCCAAGACCCACGGCAGGACTTTGAATTCAGTCTAGACTGACGCTCGAGTGCAGTGGTTGAGGGGGGAGCTGCATTGGCAGTCAGTGCCTGTTCATGTGGACATTAAAGATTCCTATGGTGGTGTTGGAAAAGAGAGGGGAGTCTCTCTTTCCCAGTGTCTTGGCTGGCAATCACATCTATCACTTACTCGTGAGACGTTGCCATGGTTCAATTGGCTGCTGCGCCCGCCCACAAATCATCACTCCATAACCCAGTGAAATCCTGTGAAACGATGTGATAAGGCACCACATCACAATGGTTGTTAATGGTGGCGTTGCTCCTGCTGCAGGTGCGGGAGATGGAGGCTGAACTGGAGGATGAGAGGAAACACCGCTCTGTGGCTGTAGCTGCCAAGAAGAAGCTCGAGCTGGATCTCAAGGACTTGGAAGGACAAATTGAGGGGGCGAACAAAGGGCGAGAGGAGGCTATCAAACAGCTCCGCAAACTGCAGGTAATCAGACTAGTGGAGTCCTGAAGCTCAGTGGTTAGAGCCCTCACCTCGCAAGCGAGACGGGCCTGGGTTAGATTCCCGGGCCGGTCAGGGCAAAACCTTAGGCCAATTTCCTTACCCCACACACACGCCTCTGTTGTAAGAGAAACCCAGCTGTTGGTTGATTGACAGATCGATTTCCGGGAGTAATAATCCCTCCCAATAAATAAAATAAATTTTGGTGACTCAAACCACGACTGTTTTGTGGGGAGCTGCTGAGCGCAATTGGCTCACCCACAAAATACACATAGTATATTCTGTTAGTATATTCATAGTATATTCTGTAAAGCGCTTTGAGACGTCTCAAAGACGTGATGAGACGCGATATGAAATGCCAGGATTATTATTAATGTGGTTAATAAGGATGCTTGTTTAATAAGAGGTTCAGAGGGGATATGAAGGTGAAGGCGGTTACCGTTGACTTGTTGGGAATTGTTGATCACTTGGTTTCCTTGTTAACATTTCGCTAACATCCTCATTGCTCCCCACAGGCTCAGTTGAAGGATTACCAGCGGGAGCTGAGTGACACCCGCAGCTCCCGGGAGGACATCCTGGCCCAGTCCAAGGAGAATGAGAAGAAGCTCAAGTCTCTCGAGGCTGAGATGATCCAGATGCAGGAGGTACGGACAGGAGCAGACGGCAGTTCCCTTCCGACTGACTTGCTCGGGTGACATTACGTTCGTGCGTCAGCCTGGCTTGGTTATTAGCGCTCGCACCTCTGAGTCAGAAGGTTGCATTGGAGCTTACAGTCTAGGCTGACACCAATGCAGGTGACCACTTAAGCACATGATGTGTTTCTACGTGTGTCAGACACCCTGCCGCCGCCCCCCCCAAAACGGAAGTGTTTTAGAACGTCCTCCCAACCTGAACGGCGCTGTGTGTGTATAAATGTAAAGTGGCTGTGAACGGTGACCCTAATGGCCAGCGCGATGGTTGACTCGTCTCTAACCCGCTGATCTCTTCCTTCTCCAGGAGCTGGCTGCCGCAGAGCGGGCCAAGCGCCAAGCCCAGCAGGAGAGAGACGAGCTGGCTGAGGAGATCGCCAGCAGCAGCTCTGGAAAGTATGTCTCACCGCTCGGTGAAACTCGGACTGTTTGCTTGTCGGTTTTCCCTCTTCCCCTCTCCGCCCTCCGCACCTTCAAAACCCTAATGAGCCATCTCTCTCTGTGATCAAGCTTTCACCTACCGTCTTCCCCTCCCCCACCCCTCGCCTCTCCTCAGCTCAGGCTCCCAGTCGGCTGTGTGACTGACTCGCTTTGAAATGTCCTCCCGACGTATATAAATGCCAAATGTTGTCTTTTGTGAGTGACGGAGACAGGCTGTTGGAATGTGGGGGGAGCGTTTAAAGGCAGGGAAGATGGATGTTTCACCCACAAAATATACAGTCAATTCACTTTACAGTGTATCCTGTGAAGCGCTTTGAGACGTCTCGAAAACGTAATAAAACACAAATGTCAAATGCAAAGATTATTATTATTAAGTGAGGGAATTGAAGGGTATTGTCACGGGGCGGGTGGGGGAAAATTGGCTGAAAAGATCTGCCCTGATCTTAAAAACCTAAACGGCTTCCCAGATCAGTTGCTGTATACTGTATAAACCCCAAACCAGCCTGTCTGCTCCCTCCACGTGGCGGACTTCCGCCTGCTCCACGTCCCCCGCCCTGCCCGCCCCACATCGGTGGAACTCCTTTCCAGAAAGGAACAGACTCTCTGTCCCAACCTCTGGAACTCCATCCCACAGTTCCTCCGCCTCACGCCCCCCTCCCCTTCAAGGCCTGTCTCAAGACCCTCCTGTTCGACCGCTCCTTCGGTCAACAAAACACCATCCTAATCCCACGCCCCACCCAGCTCTGTCAAATCTCTGACTGTCCAGCACCTTGGGACATCCTCCCAACTTGAAAGGCACCATGTGAATGTAAAGTGTTGTTGTGTGTGACTGTCACCGTTGTTGGAAGACCAGACAGTTTGTCATGGCCACTTGGTGTATCAGATGAGCCTCTGATGTGCATTTGCTGAGCTGCTGTAGAATCAGAGACATTCCAGCACAGTGCCTGCTGCACTGCCTGCTCTTGCCCAGCACCTGTTGATCTCGCCGCTCGGCCCCTTTGCAGATCCCTGGCCCTGGATGAGAAGCGCCGGCTGGAAAGCAGGATTGCTCAGCTGGAGGAGGAGGTGGAGGAGGAGCAGACCAACAGCGAGATGGCCAATGATCGCCTCAGAAAATCTAATCTGCAGGTACGCACGCGCTCAGCCATGGCAACCCCCTACCTCTACGACCTCCTACCATCCTGCCCCTCCCTCCACTCCGACCTGCTTCATGTTTCCCACCTCGCTCGCCCCACGAACGGCGGGCGGGCTTTCTGCCATTCTGCACCCACCCTCTAGAACTGCATCCCGGTCTTGCCCGCTCATTCGCCACCTTCAAGAACCATCTCAAGACCCTCCTCTTCGACCGTGCTTTTGATCTCCCTGCTTTCCCCGTCCTCCCTCCTCCTCGACCCCGACCCCCAGCTCGCGTCCAAAACTCTGACTGTCCAGCGCCTTGGGACGTCCTCCAATGTGAAAGGAGCTTTACACATGTAATTTTGTTATAATTATTGTTGCTGCCGACCTTGTTGAGTTCACTGGTTGAGGTGATGTAGAAATTGGTGGCAGCCTTCCTTGGTTCGATAGCACTCTTGCCTCGAGTTAGAAGTTTCTGGGTTCAAGCCCCACGTTGGGATCTGGAACTCGTCGTCTAGGCTGATGCTGGGGAGAGAGAGAGAGCGCCGCATTGTAGGAAACGCCGTCCTTCAGACAAGACGTTAAAAGTCACTCCCCGTCTGTGCTCGTTCAGGTCGACGTTGGAAATTCCGCGGCGCTGTAGGAAAAGAGAAGGGAGTTCCTCTCTCTCTCCCAGTGTCCTGGCCGACAATCTCCCAAGTAAAATTGCTGACCGCCACATAGCTGTTTGCAGGACGTTGCTGTCTGTAATTGACTGCCGTGTTCGTCCCCAGAATACACAATCACTACGCTTTACAGGATATTCTGTGAAGCGCTTTGGAATGTCCTGACTTGAAAGGCGATGTACCCAATAATAATAATAATTATCCTTGCCTTGTCACTTTGGTGAGACGTCTCAAAGCACTTCATGAGATATGCTGTAAAGCGTAGTGACTGAGTTTTGTGGCCGAAATGTAAGGAATGTTTGTTTCCTCTGGCTGCCTGCCTCCCCTCACCGTGACCACGTGTTGTGCAGGTTGACCAGCTGACTGCTGACCTGACCGCTGAGCGCAGCAATGCTCAGAAAGCTGAGAACGCTCGTCAGCAGCTCGATCGCCAGAACAAGGAGCTGAAGCTCAAGCTGCAGGAGGCCGACAACTCCATCAAGTCCAGGTACAAGGCCTCCATCTCCGCCCTGGAGGCCAAGGATCTCTCTCTCCCTCCCCCTCTCTCCCCCACTCTCTCTCTCCCTTCTCTGTCTCTCCCCCCCCTCACCTCCCTCCCCACTCTCTCTTGCCCCTCTCTGTCTCTCCCCCCTCTCAGAACCATGGAATGGTGGGCTTTTTCCGTGGTGCGGTGCCGCGGTCTTTACGCCGGACGCTGATGGCCGCCCTGGCCTGGACCGTGTATGAGCAGATGATGACCAAACTGGGGCTGAAGTCTTGACAAGGAGAGAAAGAGAGAGAGAGATCAACCGGAGGGTGAGGAGGAGGACATTTTGGGGGGTTGATAAACCGAGGAAACAAAGACTGGTGTCAACAGCCCGGCTGCCCTTGGACGGAGGCAAAGTTTAAGGTCCCTGTTTGCTCGAATGTTTTGACGTGGTGACGTGTGGACAAGCTGATTTTAGAGATACCACACGGCATGTGTGTGGCTTGAGTTAATGAACAGAGAGTTCGGGGCTGTGAGCCAGAGCCTGAGCTGGTACAAGACGAACAGACTCTGTCCTATCTGCGGCCCAGGCAATACTCACTGCCAGGGCTGTCAAGGCTGTGTTAATCACTCCCGTCTTCTATTATAAGAGGCTGTGACAAAACGGATAACTTTCAGACTTCCACGACCCCCTTAATATTAGCTACAACCCAATCCCACTCCCCTCGCCCCCCCCCCCCAGCCAAACCACCACCCAATCCTTTTCTTGAGATTTATTGTTATTCAATAATTTATGTATCTCGGAGTCCTGTAGCCTAGTGTTTACAGTGCTCGCCTCACAAGCGAGAGGACCTGGGTTCGATTCCCCGGTGGGATGAAACTTTAGGCAAGTTTCCTTACCCCACACACAAGCCTCTGTTTACCAGGGAGTAAGTAGGAACCCAATTGTTAGTAGATTGTCGGATCACTTTCCGGGTATAATAATCCACTTTCTGTGAAGCGTTTTGAGACTTCTCAATGATGCGATAAAGCGCAATATATTCTGATCTCCTGGGGGAAGGGCAGGGTGGATATAAGGATATGGCTGACTTGACATTTATTGTAATAATAATCCTTGCATTTGGTATAGCGCCTTATCACTGAGACATCTCAAAGCGCTTCACAGAATATACTATAAAGTGAATTGACTGTATATTTTGTGGGTGAAAACACTGCAGCCAATTGCGCACAGCAGCGTCCCACAAACAGTCGTGGATTGAGTGACCAAATTATTATTTTTTTACATTATTTTTGAGGGTTATTAACCATGGAAAAGCGATTCGTTAATCAACTAACAACTGGGTTCCTACTTCCTGCTGGTAAACAGAGGCGTGTGAAGTAATGAAACTTGTGCAATGTTTCGCCCCCTGCCCGGGAATGGAACCCAGGTCCTCTCGCTTGTGAGGGGAGTGCTCTAACCACTGAGTTACAGGACTACTTCATGTTTCCTGTGATCCAGATTGAGGGGTGGTCGCTGCTGTTCTTACTCCATGGCCTGAGGTAACAGGCCAGGGCAGTGAACCCGCACAGATCTGCAGCCTCTGCTAAAGCTCCCAGGTGTGCTGCCTGGTTTTATAGAGGGCAGGTAGGGCCTTGGCTGGCAGACTTAAGGCAAAAATAGGACTTAACTGATACAGTGAGTGGTGAGACAGCGAATTTAGGCTGGAATGATTTTCCTGCTGTGAGGAAAAGAACAGTCCCTGTGTCTACCTCCTCATTGATCGCAATCCCTCTCCATAAGCAGATCGGGTCTCTACCCTCTCACCCCACCCAGCCGCCCACCCGACACTGATACTTTGAGGAAAGATGCAGAAATTCACTCCATTGCTCCCTCGCTCGCTGTAGCTGATAGCTTCTGATCAGGAATCTAATCCTGAGCCTGTGTCACTCTCTCATAAACTGTGTTTTGCACAACCCATTCCCTGCTTGGCTGCAGCAGATTAGTGTGAGAATCTAACCCAGGTCATTAACCCCAGAAAATCAGAATAAAAAAGGAATCCGTTTACAAATGTTTGATGAAAAGCTAAAACGTGCAATAAAAGGTTTCCAGCATCAACTCAACGGGGCAAGTTTCTGTTTCAGTTTCCGTAGTCCGAGCTGCAAGTTACACTAATGTTTATTTAATACGATTGATGCCGTGTGCCGAGGTAAGCGGGAACTCTGAGCTGAGCGGGCAACGAGGTGATGTGCTTGGCAACGGGATGTCAAAATTGAGGCTACTTTCTGCTGGTCTCAACTCCAGTTCCTGAAAAATCCATGTGTTTCGGAATGGAAGCCACACTCTCTCCCTGGAGGACGCAGTCTATTTATCCTAATTCCAGAGAATATGAAATTTTATTTTTGAAGGGATTCTTTCCTTGGGAAAGCGATCCGCCAATCGACTAACAACTGGGAACTTACTTAGTTTTGAGGTGTCTACACTATATTGAATACAAAACGTGTAACATGAAAGTGAGAAGAGTTTGGTGCAATAAAATACCAACGCAGACACTGTACTGCTGCTGCAACTCTATATAACTAACGGGCAGAGGCTGCCAGGACGGTGGCTGTGTGTGAGCTCAGTCTGGAATCTAATGGCTTTCGGCTGACAGAACAGCGTGATCTGGACATGGTCCAAGGACATAGTTATTAACTCTCCTCTCTATACAGCGAAGCAGCTCAAAATCTGCTGAATCATAGGTGGTGAAAGTGCAGTGAAGGTCAGACAGGGAGACTGTGAAGGGGGGAGTCTATCACTGAGAGACACAAATATCTCAACTCCTTTCTGGTACTCACTACTTTTGAAAAAGAAAACGGGAGTGTGTTAGCCTTTCACACTCACCTCTGGTCAAGCACTCTGGGACGCTACCCTGCACCAGAGCTTCTATATAAATGCAAGTTGTTGTTTGAGCTCACAGTCTCAGCTGATGTTACAATGCAGTGTTGGGGGGAGTTCTGTATTGTCGGATGTGCTGTCCTTTGGATGAGATAGTAAAACAAGCTCCCAAGTCAAAGTATATTCTGTGAAGCGCTTTCAGACATCTCGAAGACGTGATAAAGGCACTATATCAAATGCAAGGATTATTACACGTGCTACAGATCAGTCACAGCACAGGTTAGAGACACAGTAAAGCTGCCTCTACACTGTGCGTCCACACTCCCAGGTCAGGGTTAGAGACACAGTAACGCTCCCTCTACACTGTGTGTCCACACTCCCAGGTCAGGGTTAGAGACACAGTAAAGCTCCTCTACACTGTGCGTCCACACTCCCAGGTCAGGGTTAGAGACACGGTAAAGCTCCCTCTACACTGTGTGTCCGTCCACACTCCCAGGTCAGGGTTAGAGACAGTAAAGCTCCTCTACACTGTGCGTCCACACTCCCAGGTCAGGGTTAGAGACACAGTAAAGCTCCTCTACACTGTGTGTCCACACTCCCAGGTCAGGGTTAGAGACACAGTAAAGCTCCCTCTACACTGTGCGTCCACACTCCCAGGTCAGGGTTAGAGACACAGTAAAGCTCCCTCTACACTGTGCGTCCACACTCCCAGGTCAGGGTTAGAGACACAGTAAAGCTCCTCTACACTGTGTGTCCACACTCCCAGGTCAGGGTTAGAGACACAGTAAAGCTCCCTCTACACTGTGCGTCCACACTCCCAGGTGAGGTACATTATGGGTTGGAGATACAGTAAAGTTCTCTCCACATTGGGTATCCTGAAATAATGAATCCCTCTTGCTGAATGTGAGTTTCATTTGCTGCCCTCCTGCTTGCCCTGAGCTGCTCTCCAGAGCCTGAGGAGTCTTGTCACGAGTGTGTTTTGTGAGTCTTGGGACCTTGGCTGGAGATACGTCTGTTACATATTAACAAACAGCTCATTGACTCATTGACAACCACATGAAGTTGATTCAAATTCCTCCTTTATTCAATTATTCTTAAAATCAATTATTCTTCAAATGTGCAGATGTATTTTCAGGAAGAGGGGACTGTAATAACGGAGTGCACTGTCAGCCCAACTCCGTCGCTCGCACTCTCCTCTGCGAGTCAAAAGGTTGTAGGTTCAAACTCTACATCGAGGACTTTGAGGTCACAATCTCGGCTGATGCTCCGATGCTGGGGGAGTGCCACATTGTCAGAGGTGCCATCCTATGGATGAGGCATTAAATATGTCTGTCCCTGTTCAAACTCAAGATCTTCTATGTTGCTGTGGAAAAGAGAAGGGAGTTTTTCTCTCTCTCTCTCCCCCGGTGTCCTGGCCAACAATCCCCCAGATAAAGTTACTCGCTCGCTCGTGGCTTTGTGGGACATTGCTGTTTGCAAATTGGCTCCTGCGTTTACTCACAAAATATACCTTAAATCCTGTGAAGCTCTTTCAGATGTCCTCTTGAAGTAAGGATTGTACTATTAATAATAATAATACAAATAATAATCCTTTCCTTTGGTACAAAGCCTTCCATTTCCGGAGGTTGTTCCAAAGTGCTTCACAGAATTTACTGTAAAATTACATTCTCCTGACACGAAAGGCCCTGGATCAAATGTAAGGGTTTATTAAATAATGGGGTGTAGGAGAGAGGAATAGAGGGGTGTAATAATAATGATAATCCTTGCATTTGATATAGCGCTTCTCACGTCGGGAGGACGTCTCAAAGCGCTTCACAGGACACACTGTAAAGTGAATTGACTGTATATTTGTGGGCGAACGCGGCAGCCAATTGCGCACAGCAATGTCCCACAAACAGTTGTAGATTGAAAATGACCAATTTATTATTGTTTTGGGTTTTGGAGGGAATATTATTAGGGCTCTGTGTGGAGTAAGGAAACTTGCCCGAGGTTTCGCCCCTGACCCCCCGGGGATTGAACTCCGGTCTCTCACTTGCAAAGCGAGTGCTCTCACCACTGAGCTACAGGGGAATAGAGGGGTTGAAGCTTGTGTGGAGTATTAACACGGCACAGATTAACCTGTTTCATTCCGTGTAACTGCGTAGAACAAGGAAACACCCAAGAGTTGGCCTTGGACGCACTGTCTGAATTTATCTGCCTGTTGCTCTGTCCTCTTACTCTTATCAGGAGTCAGCAGCTGTTTTCTCACTGACTGCCTGATAGCCAGCCGGCTGGTCAGTGCCCCAGGATACACAGAGCTGGAGGTGAATGAGAACCTGCAGCCACAGAATTCCCTCTCCTCAGCTCCCCCGGGAGGAGGCTCATTTCTCTTTCTATCGCGACAGATCAATGACCTCAAACATTCCAGCCTGGAACTCACTCCTCCCCCACCCCACCCGCC